AATGCATAAACAGGACTACGAGTAATATTTTCAAGTCGTTTCAATTGACGAAAAGATCGCTGGTAAAAATGAATCATGAACAAAAGGCCTACAAAAAATATCGGTAGTACAAAAATGATCGATGGATTGAGAAAACAAACGATAAACATTGCACCAACTGTTATCAATAGTGCCATAATACCATTCAGCATCAGTACAGGTAATAATTCGTCTATTGCATATTGTTCTTTACTTGCTCTATTAAGAATCCTTCCACTTGGATTACTTTCAAAAAATTCTAACGAGGTATATAGAAGTCCTTTCAACATACTATTATGTAGGCTATTTGAACCATTCAAAATAATCTTATAATAATAGTTTGTACCTAGTATATCCATGACTAATGCACCTATTATTAAACCAAAATAGATATAAGCATATTTTGGTGAAAATTGTCGATCAATTTTAGATTGTTTCAACCATATACTAAGCCAATAGTTTGCACCATCATTGAATATTTCACCTAACAAGAGTAAAACAATCAGTACACACAATCCACAAATACCAGACGGTAATGCAGTAAATAAATCATAATAGAGAGACCAATTGGACCTATCATTTACTGATATTTCATCAGTGATGATCGATTGCTCATCACATTCAGGCGGATTGTCTTCAAGCATTGTAGTTAATACGGATGTTTGTTTTTTGTCAGGTTCATTTTGTCTTGTGAAGTTTTCATCTAACCGATCTTCTTTATCGATTTGTCCATGTGAAAGAAATATGATTTGATCTGCTTCAAAAAGAAATTGAGTTTGATGAGTAAGTAATAGACGTGTTTTATTTTTCAATAGTCCATTTGAACCAATGCATCGTTCATAAATGTGTTCGGCTACTGTACGATCAACAGCTGATAGAGGATCATCAAGCAAATAAATATCGGCATCATCATACAAAGCACGAGCTAATCCAACTCGTGCTTTTTGTCCTCCACTTAAATTGACTCCATTGTCTCCGATTATTGCCAGATCATCACAAGATCCCAATCGACTAAGATCAACATTAAGACAACAGGCATCTATCACATCCCTATATCTTTGTGCATCATATGGTCGATTTAGGAGAATATTATTACGAAATGTATCAGCAAATATCCATGGAGATTGAGCAGCATATGAAAATGAACTATGATATGTATTCACCTGACCTTCGATAAGATTCATTTCACCAAGAATAGCAGCAAGCAAAGACGATTTACCACAACCAACTGGTCCAACAATACCGACCAATGTACCTTTTTCAACCGATAGATTCAATGACGATAGACAAGAAATATCGTTTTGCCAAGAAAACCAAGCATTCGACATGACGATACTGCCTTTTTGTTTCTGATTACTTAACAATGTGTTTGTTGAAGACTGATGTTCTTGTTTCACAGTTAAATGCATGAATGCATGGATTCTTTTTGATGCAAGTTTTGCTTCATTGAACTTTTCGAATGCTAGTGGTACCCAGCACGCAATATTATCTCGCATAAAAGCAAAAGCCATAATAAGTGGAAAAGTATTTGCTATAGTCAATGGATAGCCTAAAAGCCAAGCACTACCAAATGTAGCTAATGAAAGTAGTTGTGTTGAGATAAAATATTGAGTCCTATTGAATGCACGAAAACGAGATGTGTATCGAATACTTTCTAATTCATTTTTACGCATTTGAACTATACGATTTTCCATCGGTTTTTCCCAGTTGTACATTTTAACAGTATGACATCCATAGATAAATTCACTATATGCTTGCATACGTTTATCACTACACACAGCTGCTATTTCACGACACTGACGAAACTTTCGACCGAAATATATTTGTATTAGAATAAATATTGGACACAAAGCATATCCACATAATACTGGTATTGGATGTATAATCCAACAAAGTAAACCAAATAGAATAATTGTCTCAAGAATAGATGCCGTTAGACCAGCTAAATTGGTGTATAGTTCTTCAAATTTGAATGTATCACTGGTGATTAAGTTCAGAATTTGACCTGTATTTATTTTTTCTGAAGATGTCGATTTCAAAGACAATGCACGTATATAAATGATGATATTCAATGCATTACGAATTCGGATACCCACACGATTCGAACAAAACACTGCTTGTCGTTCTGCCATTGATTGTAAAATAATGGATAACAAGAGTAATATAATATATAAATAGAGACGATAAATCGATGTCTGTTTGTCTGTAATACTCCAAATCAGTTGACAAAAAACTAGAACTTGTGTAATATCGGCCATACAGAAGAGAATCCCCATTAAATAAACCGAAATTAAATCTTTCATGAATTCTTTTCTGATAATCATCCATGATGTTGTTGATGACCAATCATAAGATTGTAATCTCTCTAATAGTGTCAAAGTTTTATCAATCAGAGGTGAGTCATCAAGGTCATTTTCTATTAATTGTCGTTTATATCCTGATAAAAGAATTGGTTTAAGCCAAGACCAAAATAGAATATGGAAGAGACGAAACCAAGTTGATTCTGTCCATTCAAGACGAGAAGATGCCCGTCGATTTTGATCATGTATGCTATGAGATGTTTTTTCGTCATCGAGTAATGCTTGTCTTTCGTTACTTTCTTGCTTCATATTCGTTCTTATCATGAGTGTAGCTATAGCTTATCACATGTACATAATATTTTAGTGAGGCTATTGATGCGTAACAAGAATAAGTTTTGTGTGTCTCTCAAATGCGCACAGAGTCGTGCAAATAGAAGAAAAGTAATAGGATCTGTGGATGTTTAAAAAAAAAGCCACTGGATTTTGATTGTGACCCATGTCGTCAATTTTTCATCAAAATCGCCGGTTACCGGTGGTTCATAGGAAAACCGCCGGTTTGAAGCGGTTTCTCTTTTTTTTTTATCGATTTTTTAAATAATTTTTCTTCTAAATTAATATTTTTAGTCTTAAAAGAATCGATTACAACTCAAAAAAGTCTAGATAATTATGCAACAGTAAAAGGGGGTGGTCGAAAAATCATGGATTTTCCCCACGCTGGAAATAGTATAAAATGAAAGTACTTGATGAGTATAGAACTGCTCCGATGTCGGTTTCTTTAGATCGCGTCCCTTTTGTGGATAAAAGTTTTTAAGAGAGAGTCCGTCAGAAGGTCACCCTACACTGTAAAAAAAATCCGTAGAATAATAAACCCAAAAAGGGTTGATGAAAGTGTAACGTATAATAAACCCTTTTTGCCGTATGTAAAATTTTCCTAAACCCTTTAATATACCCTTAGTAAGGGTATATGAAGGGGTTTAGGAAATCAATAAACCCTTGCATAAACCCTAAAAAACGGTTTATGACGGTCACTAAGTACGGATAGGATTCAGCAAATGGTTTATGAAATGCTCATAAACCCATGTTGGGGTATAGCCAAGGGTTTAGGACACATTCATAAACCCATATAAGGGTTTAGGAAACACACACAAACCAATGGAAGGGTTTAGAAAAACTTCATAAACCCTTGCAAGGGGTTTCGAAACAGTGAACAAAAATGGCTCACAATCAAGACAGCTTATGAGGCGTCCTGCGTCAGCGTGTGCCAGTTTCCGCTTGCAGACGAGCAAATGACCTGAAGTCGCGTCTGTTACAAGACTTAGAAACTGTACATGTTCTCTAAAACGAGGAGTCTATTCAAAGTGACTTCGACGAACCAGAACAGAAAAGTTAAGATAGCCAAGTATAGCATGAATAACGCTACACCTGACGATTTCAACTTTTCCGTTCTGCTTCAACGAATTCACTTTGAATACGCTCTTCGTTTTGTAGAACATGTACAGTTTCTAAGTCTTGACACAGACATAACTTCAAGTCATTTGCTCGTCTGCAAACAGAAACTGATACACACTGAAGCAGTACGCCCCAAAATCTGTTGTTTCCGATCCTTTTCCATTTGATGCTGCGACGGACCTAAACATAAAAAGAGAAAAAATTAAATCGATAACGCTTACTGTTTATTTTCCACAACTATGCCATAGAGTTGGACCAAAATTCACATAACACTAGATACCAAATGTTGAATTCGTTGCTTCTCTTGATGGTGGCGTTCATTAAAGATGTTTTCAAAGAAAAAATCCATTTCCTGTTCAAAGTTAATTTCCAATACTGCGAAACAATTTAATAATAATGAAGCTAAAAAAATCCTTCTAAAATTTTCCTCAAACTCACCAGTACCTTTTCCGAACACACAGCGTAACACAAGAAAAATAATTTTGAAAACAAAATTTCCAAATGTCATAATGCTGCATTTCATTGCAACTAAACAAAAAAAACCTAACGTTCAGAAGCAACTTTTCCTTACCTAATAATATTAAATTTGATTCGATGTGAACGAAAGAAAAATCATAATTTTAAAAATGCATTTCTTCTTCACTAAATAATTTTGGATTGTCTCATCCAAACGAAAGAATTCCCTAAACCGATTTTTTCTTATTGCTATTGAGGCTAATTGCATCTAAACAAAAAAACATAAAAATCTGCAAAGCTACTTTTTACTTACTTAAGACACTTTGGATCGTATTTTATATGAAGAAAAAGAATACTTATTAAAATTGATTTTTCTGAGCTACTGATATTAAAGTTAATCGTATCGAAAGAAGACAAAAAAATCTGTAAATCAATTGTTCTAATTCTAATAATATTCAAGTTTGTTGTATCTAAAGAAAGAAAAACAATACTGGGCAAAAATAATTTTTACTTATCTAAAGAAGTTCGCATCGTCTTTTATCTAAAAAAATGTTAGGTTAATTTTTGCTTACCGATTGATATTGAAGTTAATTGAATCCAAAGAAGACAAAATATTTGTAAACCGATTGTTCTTAATCTAGTGAAGTTGAAGTTAGTTGTGCCTAAATAAAGAAAAATAATAATGTGGAAAGAAATTTTTACTTACGTAAAAAAGTTTGAATCGTCTTGTATATAAAGAAGAAAAAAAATATTTGGTTAATTTTTGCTTACGTATTGATATTGAAGTCAACTGTATCTGAATAAGACAAAATATGTGTAAACCAATAGTTCTAATTCTAATAATATTGAAGTTTTTATATCTAAAAAAAGAAAAACAATACTACGGAAAAATAATTTTTACTTACCTAAAGAAGTTCGAATCATCTTTTATCTAAAGAAAAAAAAATGTTAGGTTAGTTTTTCCTTATCAATTAATATTGAAGTTAACTGTATCTAAAGAAGACAAAATATTTGTAAACCGATTGTTCTTAATCTAATGAAGTTGAAGTTAGTTGTGCCTAAATAAAGAAAAATAATAATTTGGAAAGAAATTTTTACTTACGTAAAAAGTTTGAATCGTCTTGTATCTAAAGAAGAAAAAAATATTTGGTTAATTTTTGCTTACGTATTGATATTGAAGGTAACGGTATCTAAAGAAGACAAAATATTTGTAAACTAACTGTTCTTAATCTAATGAAGTTGAGGTTAGTTGTTTCTAAATAAAGAAAAATGATAATGTGCAAAACTAATTTTTACTTACGTAAAAAAGTTTGAATCGTCTTGTATCTAAAGAAAAAAAATATTCAGTTAATTTTTGCTTACCTACTGATATTAAAGTTAATTGTATCTGAAGAAGTGAAATTATTTGTAAATCAATTTTTCGTACTCTAATGATATTTGAAGTTAGTTGTGTCTAAAGGTAGAAAAATAATAATGTGCAAAGCTACCTTTTTCTTACCTATAAATCTGGATTGCATTTTAGCGAAGGTAATGAGAGAATTTTGAAAATTAGTGTTTGTTATCAGTATGGTAGTGAATTTTATCTTGTCTAAAGAAAAAATCATAATAGTGTTGAAAGTATCTTACTATTATTTCTACTCAGGAATTGTCGAAAAATGGTTATGAATGAAAACAATGTAAAGAAGGAACATTTAGTTGCCTTCTGGTTCTGGAGAAGAATGAACGAGAGAAAGGTTTATTCCATTTGCAGAAATAATGTTAGTTTTGTTTGTAATGGCATGAAATTTTTGATCAACTTCACTGTATCGATAGTAAGAGGGCAATACATTTATGAGGTGTTTCGTAGTGATTTATAAGTGACTAAGAGACTCGGTTTGATCAAGAGACGCGAATTTAGGGCGGCATCTATCTGTGCTAATTGTTGAAAGCAAACACATATGATTGAGTTGATTTGATTCATAGAAAAAGTGCATGAAAAGCTTCTATTCGATCCCAACTAGATAGAATGAAGACGTGTTTTTGTTTTTGCAGCTTCAATTATTTAAATTTATTTCGATGATAATCTATATAGGTTCTTGAAATTCCGATAATACAACGAAATGGATTGAATATTATGAATGATGTTGAGAATAGAGAAATTCTAGGGAAAAGTGTGAGTGTTGCTGATGATTTAAAGAAAACTTTTATAAAATGGTATCATCATTGATATAATGGTTCAATAACTTGTTCGTAATTGATTAATATCTGTGAATAGTCACTTATTCGAAATCGTTTTTTTCATGATTTAGAAAAAATATTTTGGACGATCAAGAGCAGAGTTTGATATCTCCTCAAAGTTTAGTTTTTTTATATCTTAAAAAGACATCATACATATACAATATTTCATTCATTTTGTTTGTCTTCATAACATTTGAAGTTTTCTTATAAAAACAGTACTAATAAAAAGGCAAGATAATGCAAAAACAATATTAACTTCTGTTCAGTATATGGATGCACTAGTAACGACGTTTTCGTCTAATTTTCTGACGAGTAACAGCATCTAAATTTGCATCAGCTAAAGAAGTAATACCATTCTGTGAATCATCATCCCTGTCAAACGTTATTGATTTTTTCTTTACAACTGTTTCTGAGAAATTTTAAATTAATATTGAAATAGATATCTCTTTTTACTTCTTACAGCAACAAGCTTTATTAAAACAATCGCATTGACCGTTCTGGTAAATTAACATAGGAGAACATGCTGAGCTTATCACATAATTGTCCATAGCTATTAAAGTCTTGTTTGCTTGTGAAGGCAAATAGGGTGTGGGTGTGGGCGTGGGTGTGAGTGATGTTCAAGTGATGTTCAACACCCATATAGATACCCACCCACACCCTCCGACATCCTCTCCACACTCACACCCACACCCCTCACCCACACCCACACCCTTACTGTAAGTGAATTACCGTTACTATTACCTTCTTTTCATTTCTTTACGTATAAATAAGCTACAGAAATTCACCTTAACTTCCGATCTTCTAACATAACTTCCAATACGTGACAATATTTATGTAAAATTGTTATGAATCTAAGTTAGTTATATTGACTTAAAGAGACTGAAATATTTATTTTATAACTATCATGTGAAAAACAATTTGATTGATACACATTTTGCTTAAGATTTATATCCGTTAATGAATAAAAGTCTTTTTCTAATTTCTGATTTTTACAAATCGAAAAATGTTTCATATAAAACTTTAAAAGTCTCATCTAAAACACTGCCTAAATCAAAACGATATCTCTTGTATCACTCTTTCTGATAAAACAATAATATTGCACCATATTTTTATTCATTTATTTATTTTTCCCTTAATTAAAAATATTAAATAAATTAGAGACAGGATTAAATATTGATTATATTTAAACGGAAGAAAAGTTAATCATATTTTGAAACTAAGTCTTGATGTTTCATATGGATGGATTATGGATAATTGCTTGCTTTAACAACAGCTTTGCCTGTATTGCTACCTTGAAAGAGACCTATAAATGCTTCAGGCATTGTTTTGAATCCATCATATACCGTCTCTTTGTATTTAATTTTGTTCTTAAAAGAGAAAAAAACTGTTTCTCATAAAAACTCCAACAAACTTCACCCCAATAGTAAAGAGCATTTTGATCAAATGTTCGAAAATGCATTAGATATTAATGATATTGACATATCAGGGAAAAGGAAAATAAATTTTCAAATCATCGTTAAGATTTCTTATTGAGTTTTTCATTTCTATACGAAAATAAAAAAAAATTCCTGTCGAAAAACTTATCTCTAAACGATTGAAAATTAATTTTTCAGAGTGACAAAAGGACCTTTACTAAGAAAGTCACTTTTAGAAAATTTAGAGGAGATTATATGTCAAACAAACATTATCTTGAATTCAGCAAATGTTGTTTTTATCCTTCGGTAAATTTAAAGATTGAAAAACAGGAAAAAGTGTACGATATGATAGTAGAAGATCTAACTCGACTGCTACGCATATTTTCTTTTACCTGCTTGACTAATGGAACCATTTCGTTCAAGGCTTGTCCAAATTCCTTTATATACGTAGTGATATATATACCACGTACACAAAGTTCCTTGAATAGAATATTCATATTTATTAGAGGATCTGTTATTAAAAAAATTGAATTTTGATCCGAAAGATAATATGAAAAAATCCTTGTAAAACTCACATTTTTTTTGTTCTGTATCGTTATAATTTGAAATCGAACCACACACACATACACGACCATATTGAGCCATATGTTTATTCAACATTTCATAAAAGAAGTCACCACCAACCTATAGAATGAATTTCTTCTATAGTTGATGCGTCTAAGAAACTTACGTTGTCGAAGAAAACATCAACTCCATTAGGAGCTGATTTCTTCAATGCGTCGGCAATCGATATTTTTTTATAATTGAAAGCATAATCAAAATTGAGTTCCTTAGTTAACCATTGACATTTTTCATCGGTACCAGCAAAACCAATCACTTTTAAGCCCTAACAAAATAAAGAATGCTTACACACGTTATGTATAAACAGACAGATACTTTAAGTTTAGCTAATTGACCCGTGATTGCTCCAACTGCCCCAGCAGCTCCATTGACAACGCATACTTCCCCCGGTTTTGGTTCACATAAACGAAGACCAAAATAGGCCGTCATTCTAAGAAGAAAAAGGATTTTTATATATGTAATTTCTACAGTCTGTACCCCGGCATGCCAAGCACATTAAGTGTAATAGATGGTGAAAGAGACCCCAAATCGAATGGAATTACTTCAAGATCTTTGCCGTCTTTTGATAAAAAATGAGTTCGCCATCCGCTATATGATTTCACAAGTGTACCGACAGGAAATTCACCATTACGCGACTTAATTACTCTAAGAAAATCATAAGAAGATTTGTACTGAACAGCATTTACTCACTTAGAACAGGCTACTCCAAACATGGTCTGCTGTTTACCAATGAGTTCGCCATGCATACTGAACTCAAGAATAATGACTATTTTTGAGATAGTAAAAGAGATTTACTTACCGCATATACGGATCAACCGAGAGATAGACAGCTTCACAAAGTACTTCTAAACAATGATGTTCATATAATTTGAAAATAAAGAATAAATAAGTATATCAACCTCCGTCTTTGAGATCTTCGGAGAGTTCTTCTTCCACTAGAACAAAATCTTTTTTTGTCACTTCACCTTGAAATTCATGTGGTCGAGTCCAATGAAGGGCTTTAACCATTGTTGCTGCTGAATTATGTTGAGAAAGAAAAATAATGACAAGGCGCACGACATTTTGAGACTATTAACAATAAGGCGCGATAAGAGTGTTTTTTTTTTTCGTTCTAGAACAAATAAATAAGAAAGAGAAAAAGGGAAGATAACAGTGAGGAATTACAGGATTTACTACCGTATGATTTAGTGCCGTTGTAAACATTTATTCACAAATACAATTTTTTTTCTTTTAAGGTCCCCCCCACTCAGAGACGATTTTCCACTTTTGACGGTCCTTTCACGCTGAAATTTTCAGGGATGACTGATCTTGGAGAGATACGCTTCTGGTAAAAATTTCAGCTTGATTGGTCATACTAGACCGGATTTCCAGGTGATTCATGGGTCATTTTTGGTCTTCAGGAAAATCGATATAACTCTGGCACAACAAAAGATAGAGAGCTCGGGCTGGTTTCAAATTAAAGTATATGTCAGTACCCAACGTTTATCCGAACAAAATTTTGATATTCCCCCCTATTGACTTTTTATGAGCATTTTAGTGTGAAGGTCTTAAAATTAGCAGAAAAAATGGTAGTCCAACAACAGTAAATTCCACTTTTCACAGCCCAGGAACCAAATTTCAACAATCCGTTCTGACAAAAGTTTACTCTGATCGAGACCTTTAAAACAAAAAAAATAATATTGGTAATAGCTCGAAAAATGAGGGAGGAGTTCCAACTTTTCTGATTGGAAAACATGTTCTGAGAAAAACCTTATAGAAGTTTTAGAGAGCGTGGGTGTAGGTGTGGGTGGGTGTAGGTGTGGATGGGTGTGGGTGTGGATGGGTGTGGATGTGGGTGTGTGTGGATGGGGTGTGGGTGTGGGGGCGTGTGGGTGTTGTCTTCTTTCCGTTCCCATGCGCACACCCACACTCATGTCCCACACCCTTTTTTAGACCTCTTTCCACTGCCTATTCTGTGTTTCTTATGCAGTAAAAGTAAATAAATTCGACCTATGAGAATTATTGAAATAAATGAAGAAAAAATTCTGTCCGGAAAATATTTCAATAATTGTGAAGGCCTTACAAGGTCAGATTCGTATGAATAATATGATGATACTGATGATGCATGTATGCCATCAGAATCATCATCCAAAGTTAACAATGCAATGAAAACGACGCAAAAGGTCTATTTTTTAGCAAGAAAATAGCAACTAAAATAGTATTATCAATTAATTAATGATTTATAATCTGAATTAACAACTGATGTTCATACTAATTAGAAAGCTAAGATAAAAACAACATTCGAGGATTGTTTTAATTAAATTTTGTGTTACTAGTGACAAATCATGCGATTCTAATCCTTTTGATGAGTAATAGAATAAGTGATCAGATTTTTATCTAAGACAAATGAAGCAGCAAATACTCTACAATTTTTTCTTCATTTCATAGAAAACTATGTGTCAGTTCTCTAAACTTCATATTTCTGTATGGTGAAAACTCTAAAATGGTCTCGACCGTGTTCGCATTAGATAGGCTTCAACTTAGATTAGTTTTTGTCTATCAAGAGAATGAATATGAAAACGAAGGAATAAGTAAGGAAAAAAATTTAAAAGATTAGTAGAAGAAAATGATTAGAGTAAATTCATGAACGTACTATTGCAACTAGAAACAAAGAACAATTAAATGAAGGAGATTCAGTATTGTGCAACAAGTTTATGAACTTTGGTCGAGTAAAATCACACAACATAGATGAATTCATCCTCAGAATAGTCAGAATCATTTGAGACTAAAATATTTGTGCGAATGTATCAATCGATTTTTTTACATAGAAAGATTTACAATTTCGTCATCCGTTGCCTAATACGAATGAATGGATTCTACTATAAATTTGAATGCTTATGCTTGTAAGATGATGTTTGTTGGAATTCCAACTAATTCAGAAAAATATTTACAATCGATTGACAGATGTAGGTGTCAGTATGAGTGTGAAGCAGTTTGTATTGAAATTTTAGGTGCTGATGTACGAGTATTGATGAGAGCAAAGCCTCTATTCTTTCTATATTCACAATTTTTCCAGTTCTCATTACATCGGTTTCTAGTATCAATATCCTAGTGAATGTACTGAGTTAAGGGTACCTGAAAAAGTATCCTGCTACTAGTATGTCACTGGAACCTTCGGGTACTGAAGTATCTTAAAGTACTTTTAGGTACATATTAGGTACTCGGGTGGGCACTCTGCTGGAAAACGCCTAGTAAATGAGTACTTGAAGGTACTGATCAAGTACTCAACTGATACTATTGCATAGTATGTTTAGGTACCCCGTTACAAAAATTGCATATGTTGATGATCGGACCTAATCTTTGACCTTTTTCATTTTTTTCTCTCAAATCAATTTATTACATTTTTTAAATTTAATTTAATTTAATTTTTCCAATTCTGAAAACTCGAGCAGGTCAAATTTTTGGATCTGACTCAACTTGAGTTGGTCGAATGTCCATCAGACCACTTCAGGGTAGTCCGTTCTTAATTTACGATTAAGATCGGCATGTTCTCGACTAATAAATAGTCAAGAAATAATTTAGAAAAAAATAGCTTGAAAATAGATTAGTTGCTTATGATTTGTCGAATTGTTTATACGGAACCGTGCATACAAAAGAAAACGGTGAATGAAGAATCGCTCCACAGAACGCGACAAATCTAGAATACCCTGTAGAGCTTTCCTCAGTAAAATTACAGATGCGAATACTCATACAAGTACTTGTTCAGCGAACACTAAGCCTATGGGTACCCAATGCAGTACCTACATCAGTACGATTACTGAGAATTTTCGAAGCACCGATATCGGATATCTTACTGAAGCTTTCTCAGTATATGGGTACTCTGAACTCAGTACTTTCACTAGGGTAGGCTATTATGATGTATTCAAGTGATATTAGTAGAAAAGCTTGCTTCATTGAAATTTGATCCATTGCTTGAACGATAGTCATGTTGTTACACAAAAGAGAAACAGACATCCAGAAAGAAAACACCAAAATAAAGAGTATGCAGTTGAAAGATTCAAACAGAACTTCAAAACTTAATGAAATTTATAGATCCAAATCACCACTGTTTCACCCATCCTCTTCAATGTTAGGTGAGAATGAATAGTCAGAAAATGAAAAGAAGAACATAATCAACTTTAGCATTCATGCCCCGTCCTGCAATAATCAATAAGATTCTGGATCAACAGGGTGCGGGTGTGGGTATGAGAGCGTAAGTGTGAATATAAGTTTACAAATAATGGTGTGCACACATACTTTCACGTGCATAATAACCAAAAAAAAATAGAAAACAAGAGGAAAAAATGAATAATCTTTTTTCAATAAGAATTGTAGAAATTGTGCTAAAAAGAAAAAAACAACATTGTAAATGACCTGATATTATTCTGGTATACTAAGTTAGAATAAGATTTCTAATAATAATTATATCAATAATAATTGTACTTGTTTGCAGTATGAAGGAATATAGACAGTTAGAAAAGAAGATGCACCGAAAAAATCCTGAAATTTATGTTCGAGTCTGTTTTGTTTCAGATTCTGTTGTTGATGTTGGATTATAACTTTCTTTCGTAGGTTTTTTACTTAAAAATAAAACTGGCCAAAATAATAATAATAATAGTAATGATAACAATAATAAATACAACTAAAAGTAAAATAACTGGTCCATTCATTTGTTTTTTTGATGACTTGATTTCTGCTTGTTGATCAATAGATGAAACTAATTCATTTGATAGTGGTGGATTTGTTTGTTCATTTTCATTATCTTTATCTTTATCTTGATCGACCCTATTTAGTTCATCATCATTACGATTATCATCTTGATGTGGCTCAGTTTTTGTTGCTGTTAAAGAAAAAAAGAATACAAAAACAAAAAGAGTCCTTGAAATTTTTATATTTTTATGTAAATGGAGAAAAGTAAAACTAAAATCCCTAATTTATTTGTTTATACAACTAAAGAATAGTGTTTCTGGATGACGCTGAATCGACTTCTGTTGAACATGTACAACAGAAACGAAAGTTAGACTGACCTAATTTATATGAATATCAATGAAAAGAAGTTGAGACTAATAAAGAAAATAGTTCTGAAATTTTCTCTCCAATCAACGCAGAATATTGTCATATTTGTCCAAACACATAAAATCTTTGACGAGCACTCAGGTATATATTGGATATAAGAGAGAATTGCAAGTATCTATGTAAATTATACTCCTACATCATCTTCCACTTCTAAACATACCCATTATCGTCAGACAAATCATTTTTAATATTCTTTTCATATTTTCTCTTCGTTATATGCATATGAACATATAACATCTCATGAGCAGACGAGTTATTCACATCTCTAATGTAATGATTATTATACGACAATATAATCATATATATCGCTAAAAAACGAAATCATTTTCATTGTTGTTTTTCTCAGACATTTCTCCTTTTCTTTTCTTGACAACTGGTGAATTTTTTTTTAATAGGAAATACATATTCAATACCTGTTTGTTGATTAGTTTCATCTGGTTCGTACTCCGATAATTTTTGTGTAGAATCTGTTGTTAGTAAATATTGCTTCATAGCTTTATCATATTTTTTTCTGTCATTTTCAGGTATTTTATATGGTTTCGTGTAGATATTTATTCGCCTTTCGTCTAGGATATTTGTTCCATCAGCACGAAAAATAGATGGTGGCATTTTAAACGCACGTAAAGATGAATCATAATTATTTCTTATAGCAGAACATGTTGAATATTCGCAATTATCTATGTCACATAAACTTTGTCCTACAACAATATATAAGTAAGCAATCATACAATTACATTCATTTCCATTTCGTAGAGCTAAAAGAAAATTATTATTTAAAACAAAAAAAACAGAAAATTCTATTTTAATGAAATAAAACCTCGAACGAAAATTTCTCCATTAGAAACTTTATCAACTAATTTACATTGAGAATCTTCATCTAATTTTTCAATATTTGTTTCATATTCTTTAACAGTTGTTGCCTTGTTTAAAACGGCTAATGATGGATTGGGTTCCATAATAGATAATTTTTCCAACTTGTTTAAACCATCTAAAGCATCTACATCAATATATTTATCAGTTTTTATTGATAACATTTGAATATTAGGATATTGTTGGAAAGCTCTAGCTGGAATCAATTCTTGACTATGAATACGTAATTCAACTAAATTAGCATAATTTGGCTGATTTTCAGCATTAAATTCAGTCAGATAAAAAGCACTTGCAATATATTCATGTACCGGATAAAGAGGAAATGTTTTTATTGATAAAGACTTAGCTTGTTTAATTAATTCTAAACGTACAATATTTCCTGTGAATTTTTGAGATAAATCTGAACGAATACCAGCACCAGCTAGACGTAAATCCTTTATATTTGATCCATTAAATAATTGTTGAAATGTACTATGAAATGGATAATACGAATAAATTTCTAATCCATCAACATTTAAATTTTCAAATAAATTTATATTTTCATTTTGCGGTATTTCATGATTAATGATATGAAATGTCTAGAAAAAAAAAACGAAGAATTTAAAATCAATAGAATTAATTTTGTTTTCTTTTTTACAATATGTTTTTGTGAATAAAGAGATAGATTATCAGGAAATATATTATTAAATAAACCAGGGGATGATAAACGGAGTTCACTGAATTTTTCAAATTTAATTATAAATTCCAAATGATTTTCTTCAGTTTTTAATAATTGCTTTATTGATTCAAATGTTCGATCATTAACTTGAACTTCATCTTCTGTTGATATAATCAATTCAATTGATTCATATTTATTTTTTTCATCGTCTGATATAATTAATGGTAATGAAAAACCATGATTAGTTCGACATGATAAACGAGAATATGAACATAAACATTCAAAACCTTCAATAGGATTACATAATGGAAATTCATTTTGTCGACGTGAAATTGATTTCCATAGCATCGATGATGATGATGATGATGATAAAGTTAATGATATCAATAATATTAAATTTGACAAAATTCTGTGTAACATTTTCTCTATTCAATGTTCTAATTTTGCAATGCAATGTTAAATAAAAACAAGCTAATTTAATTATTTTCAATGAAATACTATTGATGCTAATAGGTGTACGGACAAGTTAAATCAATAATAAATATCGATTATGTAATCGATCAATGGTAAAAATCTATAATGAATCATTAGCTTTAATATAATTCCTAAGTATAACAGAAAACACACTGAATTTACACGAGTTGCCTTATTTGACTTCAAGTATAAATGAGGATCTAACCGCATAAGAGGATTTCGAAAACGAATAAAACAATTTCGTTTTATAATTCGAAGCTTTTTCAGCCGTATACAAGTGCCGACCGAATTTTTTCGTAGAAATTTTCATAGTATATCCGAAGTCGCATTAGGCATCTACTCTGATGAATAATCAATTCAAACAGGGTTTTTATTCTTGTCTTGCATAGATTTTTAATCATATATCAGCAGATTGATTCAGACTTAATTTTTATTTTTACTTAATAAATTATGTCAATATCATGAGAAAAAACATACGTATCTGATAGTATAGAATGTTTGAAGAGATTGTTGATCATAGCCATATATTTGTCTTTTTTGTACGTATCCAACGAATTCGAAGTTGGAAAATGGCAAAAAACAGGGAAAAGAAATAATTTTTCTTCTTCTCTCAAATTTGCAGTTGTTATTGACTGTTGGAACCAAAAAGCTTGTCTGTTTTGATTTATAAGCAAGTTAGCAAATACTCTTCATGCCTTCTCTTCTATTCTCTTTTCGTCTTTCTTTCGTGCTCTACTACCATAAATATGCGTATGTAAATATGTGTAGTTTTTATATTATTGATGAAAGGAAAACGATGAACAAAAAAAAACAACTATTGCCGTCGTCACCTCAATGGAGACGAAGGATTCGCTTGTACACATAATGATGTGGATTTATTGCGGTAATACAACCAAATTTATAGCAGAGAGAAAAAGAAGCAAATAACATTAAAAAGAAATCTTATGATTTTTTTTTGTTATTCTTTCTTTTCAAGGTTTGTTGTTTTTCATAGATATACTAAGTATTAGTAGAAGAGATCAGGTTTCCCACCGGCATGTATCACAAATCCAGGGCATTTTTCCTTAAAAGTCAAGAATTTATATAAAAGTCAGATAGGTTAAAACTTACTCGGATACTATGCAACCTTAAAGCAAACTAAAGTAGAGTCACCTGTGTGTTAGCGTAGCTTTCTTTTAGATACACTTTTCAACATGTTTATTTTTGTTGTGCTCTTCTGCTGTCACTTTTTATTTCAGTTTACGTTCTCCCTTCATATGAAATTACCATGTTAAAAAAAGTTGGTTTTTGACAAATGTACTCTTTTGATTGAACATGTTCATATGGTAAAAAATATTTTTTCGTTCATATTGATTGCTAAAGTTGAACACTAGTAGCAGGGTTTGTACCAGTCTATTTGAAAAACAGAAAAATAGTCAGGACACATTCTTAAAAAAAGCAATCACTATACGATACTATTGCTCACCAAGAACTTTACATCTGTTTTCTTCTTGTCCTAGTGCTCAGGAATATGGCAGTGAAAATGGATATCCTTTTTGAAATTCCATTTATTCTGTCAGGAAAAAGGTCGTATACTACAACTTCTCCTCATGTTTTCCACTTTTTTCAGATATAGAACTACTATGTTCGAGACACACATTCCTGGTAAAGGAGCTGCTTCATAAAGCGGACGTTTTTGAGACACAGAAACTTCAGCATTAAAAGATAGCTGTTACTTGGTGAATTTCTTTGTGTTTGACGCATCGATTTTCCTTCGTCTTGCCTTACACCTGCACCGGTCCAATATTAATCTCCTCCACCCTCAAAAATCGATCTCAACCCAGCAACATCCAAACGCCATGAAAATTTGGGGATATTTTGGGTCTATAAAAGAACGTCTGTGATAAAATTTTCAGCCTCCTGTCTTGATGTGTAAGGTAGATACAAACTAAACAAGGTTCAGAAAATAGCTTATCGCCTCTCCAAAAATGGCGGTCTAATTATATAGAGGTTTGTATATATACTAAAAGCAAACCTTAGTAAAAGAAAAAAAAGTGGCTCTCATAGGCACTGCAGTTTTATGCGCTCTTTCAAACAAAAAAAAATACTATTTGCTACAATGAAGTTTTTTTGAGAAATCTTGGAGATACGATCGAGAACCTATAAAACGAGAAAAACTCGAAAAAGATTTTCAGTTTTTTTTCCAAAACAGCTTGTTTTTCGAATAGGGTGCGGGTGTGTGGTGGTTGGTGGGTGGGTGTAGTTACAGGTTTCGGAAAAATACTCACACCCACACTCACACCCTAATCAATTTATAAATATTTACATATAGACGAACACTATAATCATTATTTTTCTTGCAACATAAATGAAAAGTTTTTGAAAGAGAACCGCAGGTGTAATTTGAAATGAAGATCATTGGGAGTTTGTTTTTCGTGGAGTTTCTTAGATACCACGAAAAATTTCAAACGCAAAGAATGACACCAATTCGGCTGTTTTAGAATATTTGAAAGCTTTCATCGAATCATGAATGACTCGAATGCATATTTCAATGTTTCATATAGTTTAATTCTCGTTTTTCGTACAATTAAAATAAGATTTCGAAGATGATGAGCAGCAATGCATCGATTTATTACATTCTTCATGTGATGGGTATCATCGTATATTCAAACTTATTGTAAATGTAGTGCATACGTACGAATTGCACTATCCAGCAGCCGGAAATATGAAAGTGAAAGGCAAGAAGATACCTATGTCCACACACTCAAATCAACACTAGAGATATTTCTATTGTTATTAACTAAAATTTTTGAAGAATTAAAAAAAAATTAGAATTCCATTCATATATTAACATAAACTGTTGAACAACAATTCCTTTTGACTAATTTATTTTTTATTGCTAATATTTTCTTTTCCTAGCGTAAGATTTCAAGAAATTGAAATATAAGTTATATGTGTTTCTTTAATCTTGTTTTTAAGCTATTCTCATAGAATTAAGAAATCAAACTAGATAGCTAATCTCTAGATAACTTTTAGCAATAATGAACAGAGGACATTGAAAGAGTTTCTTTCTAAGAAAGTAATGTTTCAGCTTTATCAGAGATTAACTGAGAATTTGTTCTGAATACTTCTGAGAACTCATTCCATAAAAATACATGATTTTTCGACATTTCTGTTGTGATCTAATCAGTTTCCTTAGAATCGTTAAATGTGAGGGATTTATTTAACTACGATGTATCATAATAGTAGTTGTTATAAATAGTTCTAAATCTCTGAATTAGATTTGAGTGTGGGTACGGTTATAGGTGTAGATTGGGAAGAACACATTCATACCTACATCCTCTGATCGCATTGTCCAAAGATGCACTGCTAGCTGTTAAGAGAAAATCAGATAACAACAATCAAGAGAAGTAATTAATGCGACAGCAAAGAAAATAAAAACCTTCTGTTCTGATCGTGGCAAATTTTTATTGTCTTGATTGTTTCAACGAGAAACGCTATTGTATACAATAAATAATTTAAACAATAGCAAAGAGGCTAGATGATACAACACAATTAATTTTCTCCCGAAGAAAATGAAAAGAGCGTGTGTTTCTAGTCATTTTCTTGTTATAATACGGCGAGTCCCACTGGTGGGATCCATTGTGTCGAATATGTTAATAGAGCTTTTGGGTATGCCTAACATATCTTTTGTATATTTTTCTAAATTATTTCTTGGCATTTGAAATACAAGCCTATTATTTAAATCCTATATTTTTATTTTACTGAATATATTGAAAATAAAATAAGCACAAGAATAACATGAAAAATGCTAAAATATAATCAACTTCATTGTATATATATTTGTATATTATATCTTCATAGTCGAAATACAAGTCCTATTATCTTAATTATATATTGTTATTTTGTTTTCTTCCTTGTTAATCTTTTGAATTCTTTGTTGTTGCAGCAAGTAAACTTAGAATAATTCCTGTTTGAGAATTAAGACCAACGCCAACAACAACCATTAGACCACTACCTTCCATAAGCTGTGTACCTGAGAGAAGTGCAACATCTTCATTTTCATTTTTTTTAATTAAATCTGGTTCTCCTATGAAGAAAACGCGTGTTTTACATTTATATTGATAGATTCATAAAAAAGAAAAATATGAACCTGTTATAGGAGATTGATCAACTTTAAGATCATTTGCTTGAACAATTAAGCCATCAGCTGGTAAAAAATCACCTAAGAACAAAGATTCACAAAACAAATAATATTTAATGTTTATTTATCATTTTTACCAGATTTTATAAAACACAGATCACCAACAACAAGTTCTATAATAGGAATTTGTTGTGTACGATTATCACGTAAAACAGATATTTGAATTTTGTCATGTTCCTCTTGTGCACGATGAAATTGACGCTCTGTTCTCCATTCACTAAATACAGTTACAAGTACTAAGACAAGAATAGCTACACCTCAAATCCATTAAAGGCTTACTAAAATAACATTATCTCTTTAAATTTTACAAGATATAATTGACAAGATAGTTTGTTTTCTTATGCAAGAAGATTATAAAGTTTCTTTTCTTTATCTTCAATAATATTCCTTTCATTGGATTTCATAGTTCGTTACGTGGTGTCAGTGATTGTGACATTGGCAAAAGAATTTCAGTTAGCAGTTGAAATTATAAGAAAGCGACTTTCTCTTCTGTTAGATCACGTGTTGATCGATCTGATTTAACTCCAGTAAACACATTAATTCTGAGTATATTGTCTGGTTCGAAAGATACAATACGACTTGCAATATCTATTGGTGAAAGCTCCTTGAATAAAATAATATCGAACGACAAAGCTTTTCTCTTCAATTGGACACTGTCTCATCAGAAATGTTTCTGTTTCATGAATTGAATTTTGGTTAGAAGCAAAACTTCAATAAGTGAATTTTTTTTTGTGAAATCTTTTTGACAAAGCGGAACATTTAAAAAACCATTGTGCTTCAAATTCAATGAAAAAAAATCTATGATATGACGTTTATAGATTGAGTCGATCAATTCTATTTCTTATGCATTTCAAAAAGTGTTGCTTCATGCATGTGGAATGTCAAATATTTAACATGTGGCTTTTGACATTAACAAGATGTTGCATAGTAATGTTTACTTTTAGTTTCAAAACCGAGTTCACATATCTTTTCTAAGTCTTTTTCTCAAAGTTCTATTTCCGCTATGCTGACTCAAACTTGAGAATCTTGAAAAAGATGTACCAATTCAATTTGGAATTGAAAATAATAATTGAATAAGGATTTCAAGAAAAAGCCTTCTCACTCTCGAGAACAACATGTTGCACAGGTAGGGCTTGCATTGATTGAACGCAAACGCTTTTTTTTCTATTAAATACTTCTATAATTATTGAAATTTCAATAGGATATTGTTCGTGAATGTTGTTGTCATTATCTGCGCGAAGAACTCGCCTGATTGGTTGAAAATTAATCAATGTAGTTCCAAAAAGCTTTGATGGCATCGGTGTGATCTCTTGAATGCTAAAAACCTCAGATCTCTACGATGTTTCTCTCAAAATTCATTCAAAAAAAACGGTAAGATTTTATTTTATTGTGAAGCGCGTATCTATTGATAACTACTGAAAACACAACTAGAATTTAACGAACGAATTTCGAATAGAGAAGTATTTTGCGAGCTGATAACATAAGGACAAATGTATCATTTCAATAATTCAATGTTTTTTCTACGGAAGCATAAATTATTTTACCTTTGGATCTGTGTTTATGGAATCGGCTGGGATTTGTTTGATACGGTATGCAATAAACATAGACAGCAAACAATTGTGGTAAACTATCGAGCATGGACATTAAATGTTGCCCAAAAGAACCGGAAACAATTAATACGACAGAATTATGTATTTGAGTACTGGATATTATGTGAAGATTACAAGATTTCAAATCTGAGAAGATGATTAAGGCTGAATCAATTGCTCGCAATCGTGCTCCTGTCGTCGTATTTGCGCTTGCATTAGCCTAGAGAAGCAATTCAATATTACAGCGTTTTGGGTAATAAGCATGAATCCCGATTGTCAGCTAAAAACGCTAAGAAAGACTCGATGTGAAAACATAATAAATTTTGTAACATAAGATACTCTCGGGAATTTCATGATCTTTCTTCGTAGGCACACGCCTGTACTAAAAATCTATCAGCCTACTCGAGCAAAATCCTCTGCCGTTTTCATTTAACAATCAGGAATATCGGCTGTCATCGTAATACATTTATCAAAACTAGGTGCGACAACACCGTTTCAATACACATAAAATTCCTAGCCGTTTTAACGCTACGAAAAGCTGTTATTAAAGCGAGGATAGTGTGAGATGTGAGCTTGGTTTTGAATGTGAATGATTGCAAGTAAGAAAGCCTGTAAGTCGAAGTGCAATATGCACATGCACAGTCATGTTGGCACTTTTTATCCTTCCATCATAGATTCGTTAGACTAGAAGCATTTTTCGACTGAAATTACTGATTTATCAAAATAAAAAATTGATCAAGTATACTCTCTTCTTATTTTGCGTTTTTCAGTTAAATAAAGTTAAATCCTATTGAGCAATGCATAATACATTTAATTATTCGATTAAAAATTTGTAATGATGTGCACAAAAAACGGGTGGGTGTGAGTGTGGAAGTTTGAATCCTAGTAACACAAACACCGACATCTACACACCATCTACACCTCCCCATCCCTACACCCACACCCTACCAGTTACGAGTCATCATTCGGAAAGATAACACGAAATTAGAGGACTTCATGATCACTTCTTTTTGTATTAACATCCAAGCAAAAATGCATATAAATGATAGTCCAAGATCTGGTCGATGTAAACGCCACAAGAAACGTAAAATTTTCGAGCATTAACACAGACACACTGCATAATTGTTTTTTTAGAAATAAAAAAAGACTGCTTTTTGTATTTCAGCTTGGTGTAGGTCCAAATGTAGATTTTTCTTACTTACAGCCACAGCCATATCGACACTCACACTCACATCTACACCCACACCCACCCTCAAAAGACAATGTAGGTAAATATTACAAGTGTACAGTAGAAAAAACCAACGGAAGAAGAAAAAGGGACAAAAACCACTCGTTTTTTTTTCCTTCTTTCCATTCTTGCTGTAGTAGTCTTTTTGCAGAATCACATGAGTAAAAGAATAAAGCAATTCATGCTGTCATCGAGAGCGCTTTCCAATAAGATTGAAAATAAAGAAATGTCATGAAGATAATTGAGAAATTTCCTAATATCGTTATAATGGTGTAACAATATATAAAATTGTGTGCTACTACGCCTTACACAAGCACATTAGTTTCGTAGAAAAGTTGCTGTGAACAATACTAACAATTCACACAAATCAAGTTGCGAAAGGCATGTGCTTATTTGGTGGTAAGCTCAGTATTTACTTTTACGTTCGACATCTTTCATTTTACCGGATTGTTTGTTTTTGCTTCTCCGTGCTGTCGAGTAATGCGTCACCCGTCTATAGTTCTTTTTACATGAATGAAGATTTTTTTCAAGCCGTGACTAGGACTATGACAGTTGCAACTCGCATGGAGTAGTAAGTGATCACACAATAAACAAGAAAGTCAGTTGCTCAGTACCAATTCAATGCTCGAAATCATCCGTGGTGGATTCATCAGCTTTTGTCTACAATGATTAATTAGTCATTAATAGACATCGATATGTTATTATTGATACTGTATCCGTAGGTGTTCTTTTAAAGCAAATTTACCAGAAAATTGTCTAAGGACACATAGAGAGAGATAAGATGAAAGATAAGCCTATTCATAGGATATCTCAAAGTAGTGAAACTTGCCCCAACTATCTAATATCAATCAGTATATCATTTTTATACTGCAGAAATCAGTGCTATTCATGCCAGTAAGTAAAAGTCCTTTGGAAGTTCTCATTCAATACAATAAAAATTGACTGCCATAAGGTGTCGATCTTTAAAGCCGTATTACACCAGAAAAACCTTGTCCGAAAATCGAAAAATAATGGAAGATATGTCAAGTTGAGTTACAACTTTGCTGCGTAATTCTTTACGGAATCGTTTTCGATCAACAAATTCAATTGAGACATTAACCGTGATGACTGTCGTACAGCATATTAATCGCCTTTTTTTGGAGCTAGTCATCTTCAGACGTTAGCTTATTGTTCAGAAAGGCAGTGATATAAAGTAAACTACGTAAGAAGAGAAAATAATTCATGAACGGTTACGTATTTTGACAGACACTCGTATAGGACTGGTGTGATGATCGGTCTTCCACTCGCTCACTCATTTTGACATAGACAAGCGTACAAACCCATTTATATATTCAGACTGAACTGAAGACAAGCACCATGGATAAGAAGTCAATGAATACATTTGAGTACTTGCTTAGACGGAACTGATTCATAATCTTTTGAAATAGACCATGATCTTTTTCAAATAAAACTCCACATTGAACTGTTTCTGCATGCTTATCATAGAAAATTTTTCAAGAAATACGAGGTTTATCTAGTATTTTGTGTTTTAGATTAATATGTCTAGTTGCCAAACTTTCTCAAAGCCACCTTACGTGAAAGGGCAACGAAAAACAGGTAAGAATGGTAGAATACGAGTATTTGATGGTCATAAGTGGCGACTGGTGTGTTCAATGTCAGAATGCCCACACCAGTCTCAAAGCAATAGTGGACTTTGCCAAAAGCACGGCGGCAAACGTGAACGGAGCAAGAAAAATGATACAACATCAAAGGCTGATGATTTACATGATTCAGAGAAGAGTGACATATCTTCAGACGATGCTATCGATCTAGCTCTTAACTTCGATGATGGTAAGTTGTCTTTTATGAGTACTCTTATTTTCTTGAAAAGTAAATTCATTATAGTACTCGTTGATAATGTGTATATGGCTTGAATGCATATATGCCTAGTAGATTATTATCACTAGTTGAGTTTTGCGTCCTTCTGTCACGAACTTTAAATAACAAAGTACTTATTGAGGAGAAATATCGAAGAAAAAATTCATATTTATCTAAAAGAGAAAGCCAGCCGTTGATGAAGTCGTTCCCTTACAAAAATATGTGTATGTTTATGTCGAACTATCACTCAAATTATTTCGAAATGACCTGCCTTTGGATAAGACTTCTAGCAGTTGAATGAACTTTGTGGCTGTCGATTAAAATCTTCAATACCTGCTGTATGCACACTATATTCGCCTACAAAAGAAAAAAGTTCTTGTTATCCATCGATCCGATGGTCAATGAAAATAATATTTCTGTCGATCGATAGCACGTTACAATGACTTGAAAGCGATACAAAACATATTTATTTTCAAGACATTATTATAAGTTACGATTCGTTTGACTTGTATTTTGTCTAAATCTAGCAGCTATATGCAGTGTGCATAAAAACTGATATGGTGCTTTAACTGACTAGACTTACATGAGTTTCAAATATATTGTCAGTTTTATCTTC